TCCCACTTGTCTCCCAGTAAGCTCTGGATGCTCTGAGTGCTCTGGCCGTATGATTTCACACTTGTCTCCCACATGTCTCGACTTGGCCCCCAGTAAGCTCACTTGTCTTCCACTTGTCTGTCTGGATGCTTTGTATCCCCGGGCTTGGCTGGATGCTGGGCCGATTAATTTTAGCCCTTGTACGGCGTCCCATTGTAAAGTCAATGAAAAACAGAATTTTAATGCTTTCCCTTTGAATCTTGTATGTGCGTCTACATGGTGGACTATAGTTTTCTTCCTCTAGGAAATACTGCTGGCCATATTGTTCGGAGATCTCATTTTTGAGCCTTGCTCTGTTTGGGGTCTACGCTGGTATAATTGTTTTTCTCTCCCATCTCCGTTTGTAACTTGTGTCCAGATGGCTGCTTCCTGTCTGTCCAACACATGCATGCTTGTATTATTAGCCTGAATGAGACAAAGCTTAAACGCAGGCAATCGACAAAGCGGTGCTCTTCCTGGAGGCTGCAAAGACAGTGAACTCAATGGTCGCACAGATTCCATCAATTTCACTGGCATAGGAAACGGCAAAGTACTACACTGCCTGTGTCCGCTCTCCTCCATTCAAGTCAGAATGGAGCACTGTTGGTTCGAGCCCCGGAAACACACTTCGTTGAAGCAGGTTCATGAGGATCCAAAGTAACTTTGCTGATGCAGCAGCCAATTTGCAAACAGTGTACTGGCATATAATATAATGTTTGTTGTGATTGTAATGTGTCGAATGAGGCTCCTGCATGTATTGGGTCGTGGCCTCGTTTTCTGTGCTGTGGAAGTGATGGTATTTATTAGTTGGAAAGGTGGAAGGTTTTTGGTCCACTTTTGAAGGACCCCTTCATAGTCCTTCATGACTTTTCTATTCTTTCTCCCTATCAATTAGCAAGTGGTGGAATTGTTTAAGTGAACATGTGCATAAATCCTTCATCCAGACAAGAAAGATCAAGGAATATATATATAAAGACTTTTTGTTGAAGCTACTTGTGGGGACTGTGAGTTGGACAGCACTCTGGAGGCTCCTAGTTGGGACAAGGAAGCAGCCTGCCAAGTGCAGAAAACACCGGGCTATGTCCTGAGTGCATTGTCGGCAGATGCCCAGCATGCTAAGCCAGAAGGTATGCAAAAGTGGCATTTGTATACTATATTACAGTATGTATTTGCTTTGACAATTTGAGCTTTTGTTGACATTCTAAGCCTTTGCGCTTCTAGTCAAGGTGTTATGCCGAGCACAAAAGGACCAAGGCAAGTCAGGCAAGGGCAGGTGGACCTCTGCACTTTGCTTGTTCTTTCCGAAAGATTCAGTCTGGACACAGGTGATGACAGTGTCTACAAGGACACAGTGCCTGAAGCCAAGCTGTTTTATTGAGCTTGTCAAGGTTGTGAGAGCTGCATTGTCAGTTGTGCAGTGAGCACTAAGGCTGCTTCCAGCAACAGATTTCTCACAGAGAGCAAATGCAAAGAAGCGAGAGCAAATGCCCAAGTCAAATGTGAGGAACTAAACAAACTATATACGTAAACATGATGCCCTGGACGGAGTTTCTATACACCAGGCCAGAACTCCAAGACTTCTGGAACGAGAAGAAGATCTATGAGCAGTTACAGGCGAGCAAGTACCTGAACCTCCTGAACACTTGTCCTTGTTGCCTGCCTTGCCTTGGTACATTCACACTGCTACACTTTGCTTCCAGGAAATGGAACATCCCAATGGCAGCTTTACGCTCCATGACGGGCCGCCATATGCAAATGGCTCCCTGCACATGGGCCATATGACTCAAAGGGTCTTGAGCAGGGTGCAATGGTGCAAGGACAAAGTGTGAACCCTCTAGAGAGTGCTGATTGAAGATGACCAGAGAACCCCAAGGAGGAAACATCCAACCTGAATGTAAATTCCCGCATTTGTCCGGAAAGAAATTTCTTTTGGTGCTTAGGCCATGCCCTGAACAAGATCCTGAAAGACATCATCAACAAGTTCAAAGCCGCTTGAGGGCTTAGCTTCAGCACTTTACCTGTGGATTTGTCGTTTCAACATCGCAGATATGTGAGATGGGTTTAGCATGTCGCACCTGCCTGCATCGCCTCCTTCTCAACACAGGAGCTTGTGAACAGCGCAGCATAAATATTTGCAAACCGTGTTTGGAACCTCAACAAGCCAGATCGCATGAATGTTGGAACAGAAATTGTTTCACACAGTTTGTGCTTGATAGTAAAGCCGCACTATCATGGAATGCCCGGAAACAGTTCCGCAAGAGAGCCTTCCGCTGCCAGCCGAGGCAACAATCTGTTTATCTTTAGTTATACCAGCTTTCATGGACATCAAATGATCACTTGTCACTAGAGACTAGAGTATATACTACGGAGACGCTTCAAACGAGTTGCTTAGCCAGCAAGTAGATATTGTAGCGAGTGCACATAGACCGCTCTTCCTGTTCAGGAACCACCAGATTCTGACTTTGAGGCGAGAATTTCGATAGTGCTGTATCCTTTGAAGTTTTGCACTGACCACGGACTCATAAAGGAGACTCTTCGGAATGCACTACAAGATCTTGCTCATCGTCTTCGGAGCAGCCACGACACTTGAAGAGAACACAAGGAAAAGCTTGAGATCCTGACCCTTTGCTGTGCCACTGACTTCTCAGGAACGAAGTGTCAAGACTCGGAGCACGCTGCGGGACTGGCGTTGTTTGAAGTCTTTTTGTAACTTTCGCTGAGTGCCCTCAAGCAGGCATTATTAAGGACAAGCTGTATTGAGCATGATGAAAGAATCAGTCTGGTGAAGGATGCTGGACATGGTCATGGAAAGCCTCTGGAGGTGTGTGATTTCTGTGTAAAAGACCATCGGCTGGCTTTGGAAACACCATCGCCTCAGTGAAGGTGCCTGGATCTTCCCTGAACTCCAGTGAAGAGCTGCCCAGCTGCGCTAAGAGAAAGGAAGAACTTCGGACAGACATGAAGAGCCATCTTCTTGTTACTACCAGTAAGGCACTTGTTACTACTAGCGAGGCACTTGTTACTAGTAGCTTCTTGTTACTACTAGCGTGGCACTTGTTACTAGTAGCGTGGCACTTGTTACTACTAGCGTGGCACTTGTTTCTACCAGCTTCTTCATGAAAAGCCTTTCGACGCCTTCCAGGCCAGAAGCTCGTCAGCCCAGGTCTCAAACGAATGTGTCTTGACTCAGCTCGAACCGACACTTGACACACACGACTTTTGTAGGTGCTGAAGGACCTTACCTCAAAAAATTCTCTTGAGGTTTCCCACTTTCTTTATTAGGTTGCTTTCCTCTCCAAGAAGCGCTAAGGTTTCTGCCCACAGCAAGCTCAGTATTGAAGAACGGGTCAGCGTCACAAGCCTGAAGCCTACCTTTGCGAACTAACAGTACAGTAGTTAATAGTACCTGTGATCAACATTATGGGTTAGATATCCGACATGTTGAATTCATGACCTGTGCAGTGATGAACGGAGTTCGTCAAAACCTTGAGGCTTTCGACCCTTGCCGGAAAAGACCGACTTTCATCTCCTGGAGGACTGTGATATGCTTTAATCATGGCAATGGTACACCATGTCGTAGGCTTCTCAAGTCAAGTCACGGTGAGCAGGACTGGTCCAAAAAGCCCAGTCCCACAATTTATTCTGATCCAACCCACAGAGATATCCAGCAACTCAGCGGAACACTGGAATGTGCCGTCATGCTTCCACAAAGCTTCTGTCCAAACTGAGGCAAGTGAATGCCAACAAGCTCAGGCAGCTGTTCACTGTGTGGAATAGTTGGCTCACTGTCTTTAGCTTTTCTCAAGGTATTTAGATCATGAAAGTGTTGCTCAGTCGCAATTGCAGAATGGTCCAATCATTAGATCGCGTATTTTGGACATACTTTCAATGAGTGGTTTCAGAGTGGTTTATAGGCGCAGTTCCACTGTTGTCCACTAAGGAAGACGATCATCTAGCCTCTTGGCTCCAAGGGTTTGTTTTCATCAGGGGCTTAAATTGGAAAGTATATATCCAGACCAGACAGCTAGTCCAATGCAGTTGAAGAGTAATGAGGAGTGGACTAAGGACTGCATTTCGCGTCGACTAGCACCCTATATGATGACACCGGGATGTGCGACAAGAATTGTGTGGGATGTGATGTCTGCAATTCTAATCGTGCCAAGGCTTGCATTGAGGCCTGTGCGTGCATTAGTGCTATTCCTGCGAAGCCTAAATTCTCTGAGGCAGCGGATGCAGTGCTCATACCTTTACAGCTGCTTGTTGACGAAGGCCACAGTTTCTGTTTTTCCAAAAAACACCCAGAAGACACAGAAAAGCTATACGGCCTATATAGGGCTCATGGAAGCTATACACCTTGAGCCCCATGTAGTTTGTCTCTAGAGTCTTGTTGGTCCTTCGTGAAGGAGATGGATGGATGGTCATTAATTGGATTTTGCGTGTATTTTGGACAACTGATCTTGGAATGAACTTCTTGATCCTTGGTTTCAAAGAAGAACTGCAAGCTCTTCAAACCTTGCTCTCAACTGCCACTCGACAGTGAGCTTGCTTCCAAACTGAGGAGAGGCTATCCTCGGGGGGATGGATCGGTAGAGATGAGGCCACGTCGCGTTCGCAACTTACAATGGCAGTAGCACAGCTTATGCATGGCGTAGAAAGAACCAGTAGACCTCTCTCGCTTAGCAGGGAACTCAGAGTCTTTTCCGTCTGTCCTGAGGCTGCGCTTCACTATGTGAAAACATGGTTTGCTTTAGATCTTGCCATAGTGGCCTGACATGAATTGTGAGGTTGTGGATAGATTCATGCCAAACCATTCTAGGTACTCTGAAGCTTCAGTTGCACTAAGGTATGCTTGGACTGGTTGGATCTTGTTGATCTTGAAAGCACGGGCTTCAGTGTGCTGCATGTTTTTTTGTTCGACAGTCCAACAGCCTGTGCCTTTGAGCCTGCTTTCTTTGCCCAAAGGCACAGATGCAGCGAGATTGGGAAAATCCGTGAAGATGATTCGCTTTCTGAAAGTTACTTGGTTGTGGCTGCTGACATAAGAGGCGAAGATAGATGCTGCGAATGGTGTGAAAGGCTGAGAAGGCCATGGCCTATCTGTCCCTGATACGCTTTGACTAAAGAGGAAGCACCGGATGGTGTTTGTTGACCGAGGTTGCCAGGCTAATCCGATTGGTCAGGTTTTCTCGTATGAACGAGCTCATTGGCCACATTGCCGCTTTCTTTCGCTCTGGGATGTTTCCTACCATCATGGGAATATTTAAGATCATGACAGGCCGGTCTCGAAAGATGCCCTTTACACGAAGGGCTTGAACATTGCCTTCTTCTCAAGAAACCTTTCTTGTTGCTCTTGAAGGCATGATGATATTTTGGCACTTACTGGCTTCTTGGATGCAGAGCGGCTCAGTTCAGTTCTTCTATGCTTCATGACAGAATCACTCTTCCACAATTTCAGGCCTGCATTTGGTACAGGCTTGGAGCTGCTGCCTGGCTTGTTAGGGTTGTACCGTAAGTATTTTTCTTGAAGGTCTTGCTCTGGAAAGCGTTGGACCATTTGAGGATGCGGAGACCAGCGAAAATTGGATTGATCACTTTGGCTATGCTCAAAAATCACTTGGTCATCTTTATTTCATTTCGCTGCACTGGGCCCTGACCCTTTTCATTGGAGCCATGGAGGCTGGTGGCTTTTTGTTCTTGCATTTGGCATGACAGATGCAACTTCCTTGCATTTCTGCAATTCTTCCTTATCCTGGTGCTTGAAACATTTCTGACAGCTTCGAGGTCACACCGAGAAACTACGATGAACGCGTTCTCACAGTTGTGGCACTTTACTTTAGCTTTTTCCTCTCTGCTGCAGCCTCGGCCTCGGTAGTCAGCTTTGGGCCTGGTACAGAATTAATACTGTAGCTGCTTGTGATCTATACACCTATACACATGATGTCAGATGTGCCCGAAGGCACGTTTTCCTCTCCTAAGCTTCAGAGATTCTTTGGTGGTGAGCAAGTGCCCGCAAACTCACCTAAACCAAGAGGATGCTATTGTTTAATGGTTTGCCGCCCAATCTCTTAAGCCTCCTGGTCAGCTGGATGTCGTTTGTTTGCACAGCACGCAACTACTGTGGTCAAGAGGCTGCTCGGTGGGTGGCGTAGGTCTAATTTAAGACATAGACATAGTAGATGCCTCAGCACAAGACAGCAAAAGACTGTACAGCTGCAGGACACAGCAAATGAAGCTTGAAGTGACTAAACCGCTCTATGCAGCTTACCAAGTGAACCAAGGTCATCAGTGCGATCACATCATCCATGACCAAGCTGGATTTGCTTACCGTTCAAAGGCAACCAAGCATGACTGAAAAGACTTTGCTTTTGACAAAGCGACGCTTACATGCAACCGTTGGCACAGTGCAGGGATTCCAAACTTACGGCATTGAAGCAATATTTGCCTCTTGGCAGACAGAATAGAATCCATGACCATTTGCGTGAAAAGAGAAGTGCATATATACATTTCATTCGGCGACTTCTGCCAAGGTTTGATAATAACGTCTCTCCCCGCTACTTCGCTGCAAAGGTTGTCACACAATTCATTGGATTGCCTGCAGCATGTCTTGCTTGGGGGCGTGCAGAATTTGATTTTCATGATGTCGTAGGCTGGACATGACTCCCGGATCCATACTCATAGGCTAGCTTTCTTGACAGAATGGCACATTCCTTGCAACTTTTACGGAGCAAAAGCTGTATTCAAACAACCCAAATGAGTGTGATGTTTTTCTGAGGCCTTACTTTGCGAATCCAAAAGAGTGTGATTATGGCCATTCAGGACAGTACACTTGGGGTGCCCATAAGACGGCTACAGTCCTTCCTTTGTGAGACTCCTTGATGTGAAAATGTTGAGAGCCACCAACACCCGTGAGGGCACTCCAAGGCACCCTGTGCGCAAATGCGGTCGGAAAGAGGGGCCAGACGGCAGCTTTGAAGCCCAGTAACAAAGTTGGCGAGGCCACGGCCAAGGCCAGGAAGGCTTGGGACTGACATTAGCCTTGAGGATCCCGCGGGGTAATTGCCCTGCCAACTGCGCCACCCTCTCTGGCCACATGCCTTCCAGGCCTCGGCCGTGGGCTTGCCAGCGTTGTTGTGCTGAGCTTCGAAGCTGCCATCTGTCCTCTCTTTTCGACCGCCTTTGCGCACAGAAATCGATGGGGGAAGGCTGTGGCGAAGCGTGCCTTTTGAGGCCTCGCCAACCTTGTTTTACTGGGTTTCGAAGCTGCCGTCCAGGCCCCTTTTTCCGACCGCACTTGCGCACAGAAGTAGATGAGGGGAAGGTTGTGGCGAAGGGTGACGGCACCCCTGCCGGTGGAGGCCAGAGAGATGGCAGACAGCAGCTTTGAAGCTGGCACGGCTAGCGCGGATATACCTTCGTATACCTTGTCCCTTTTGTTTTGCTTTTGTGGGTCAAACAGTGACAGGGGTCCCACAAGTGCCACAACTCAAAATCAGAAGAAAAATATGAAAAAATCAATCTGCGTCACGATGAGAAAGTGCAATCCTGCGCATAGACTCAGGCTTCTCCTCTATTTTGTCCGTTCGAAGTTGGATGCGGTGCACTGTCCTTCTTGCTAGGAGCAAGAACGCGATGTGCCAGAACAAAAGGTTGAACTACTGAATTTGGCTGCGGAAAGTCTCAAGAGTGATCTCCACTTTGAGAGGCGCTGCTGAATTTCGCTTAGTTTCTTGCAACTGATGGATGTTTGCAGCAACTTTCCACAGAGACCCGAGACTTGCAGGTACATGCCCATCCTTGCTCAGCATCCGCTTTTCGCATTTCTTCAGGGTCTCGCAGATGATGTGATGCGCCGCGTTTGCCATTGTGCAATCTCCAGGCGGGACAGCAATTTAGTTCAGTTTGCTTTGTGGTTTTTGTTTTGGTCTGGTATCTCCACGTTTCAGCCAGTTGTTGCCCGACAGGGTGTCCATACATCCGAGTGAAGCCGCTGGGCAACAGTGGAGGGCATGACATCATAGATCCAAATGCTTGAGAGCCTCCAACGCTGTACAGCAACTTCTTCAAAACTCCATAAGTTGGGTTGCAGGGCCCGCTGTGGTTGAGGTGATTATTTCCAACGACACGAACCTGGAACAATCGGATATGTTCTTTCTGGAATCTGGCACCGCCGTCTACATCAGCTACCAAGGTTGGGGTAGAATCACGACAGCCAGGTTTCGATCAGTCGTGGGGGCATGAGCCAGACCTCCACCCGAGCTCTGGCTTACCTTCTTTTTCACACTGAGCTAGACTAGACTAGACCTAGCCAGCTACTGTGGATTCACTTGACATCCGTGCTTGCCTGGATTTATTGTTGCAGCGGACTTGGACCAATGCAATGTGTAAGACTCATTGATTGGTTGATGGAGCAGCGGTCTGTCACACTTCCCTGCATCAAGGTTGATTCTAATTCTTGTTGGATTCACGTATTTGCACCAGTCACCAACGCTGCAAGTAAATCAGCAACAATCCATGCGAGCTATCAACCACACTGTAGATTGGTTGGCTGGTCAAGGCTTACCAGGCTTGCGCAGAACTTGAGAACGCAGAACGTGAGTCGAAAGTGAGTGCTTACACGAAACATTGTCACACTAGAGATTGGTGTATTTACGACTTGAATGCCCATTCCCTGAAGTTGTCTAAGTGAAACAATCAGTAAACCAGGTCCGTCTAGAAATTACGATTAGAAAGGCCTCAAGTCAGCAACAATTTGGTTTACAAATCCACATGAACCTCCATGGAACCAAACCGGAAGGTGCAGGACTCATCAAGATTCCCTGCGACCCCTGCAAACTCTTGCGTTGAACACTTCCGAAGACACTGTACAACTGCACAATTTCTCAACTCCACAACTTCTCCTACAACAGGCCGCCTTTGCAATGCAAATCTCTAGGTGGCTTCTCAACCAGACAACATTCGCAGCGGCAATGTGGCAATGTTTTGTGCTGTTATGTTTTGATGCCATGCAAAAGCAGCATGTTTTGGCTCTCATGGGTAATAGGCTCACAAAACCCGCATTCTGTTCCAGTGAAGTGGAACTAACATCAGGTCATGCTGTTTGTCACTCTTCCCTTTCAGGTCATTTTGCTCTCAGTTCTCATAGTCACTTCCCGTGGCTCTGTGAGCCAGCTCTGTGGACCCATTGGCACTTCGGCTCAGTATGCGATCAGTTCTTGCCTCACTCCAAACTGCGAGCGAGGCTTGAGGCAAAGGCCACAACTCTCAAATCAGACCCGACAATAAAGAGCAGTTGGATGTCAATGTATCATCAACTCTGGTTTTGAACTGTGGCGATCGAGGACCAATATTGGCACTTGTGTGGCCAAGACACATTGCTCGCTTCTACGGGTTGATGGTGCTATGTTTAGGCGACTTCTTTTCTTTTTATATTGAAGATAGGCGACAGGTTGACAATTTTTTCGTTTACATCATCAGGGCCATATCAGACTCCTCAGAGCTGCAATCCTTTTGTGCATGGCTTTGTTCAGGTTGCTGCAGCGTGAACCTTTCGTAGGTTTTCCTGTTTCGAACGTTGTCCATAGCACCTTTGTGAGGCAAATCGCTTTGAGTGCAGCACATCCGGACCGAGTTCTTGAGTTTCTGCATCACAGAACCGGAGAACTTGACAGACGATTCTGCGCAGGATTTCCTGAAGTTCATTAGCACATATTCGGACAAATTCATGCAGACGCTCAATCGCCAAGAGCCAGAAGACTTGACCGATATGCCCCAGTCTTACCCTGTTTCTTGAGGAATGTGAGTGTTTGGGTGCTAGCTGCGTGCTTGATCGACTCCAGCCTTATGGCAGACTCGTGTGGAGGCATGACTACCAGGACTTCGACCTTGAAGCGATCGTCAATGAAACGCAGAATGTCACCATGGCAGATTCAGCATCTCGAAGGGCTGCGAAGGTTTTCCTGCACAAGACGAAGCTTTGCAGTGGTCAATCCTGTTAATCCTCTTCAGTCTCTGCTGATTGGTTCATATACACATTCGCATTTGTTGGGGGTTAGGCACTAAAGTGAAGCCTTTGCAGATGCAACGATGAGATTGAAGTGATTGGCAGAACAAACAGGCATTCAAATCTGTAGAGATGTGCCTTGCAAGGAAAAGGAAGAGCTGGTTTTCGCAACGGGTCACGGACATCGCCAGCGGCCACAAGAAGTGACACTCACAATCAGCTGCAAGATCACGACAACCGCTGTTCCATCTCAGACCTTTGCATTCCCAGAATTGGGATGCATTTTTCTTCCATGGTCTGGTCTCACAAGTTTTGACACGAACACACGAGCATCACCTGCTGGTTGTGCAAAGTACAACCGCGGACTTGCAATGTATATCTCAAATTCCCTGAAGTGACACGGTAGTATGCTGAAAGTTAAAGCAGGTGGAAAGGGACCTTTTCACACTTGTAGTGATTGGGCATGTTATTTGCAGTGCTCTTGCCCTGTTGATTTAAGAAGCGGCTTCCATACTGAGGCAACAGGGCACGAGATCAAGTTTATTCCGGGCGCTTTCCTTACTGTTCTTCATACTGATAAAAGACACAGTAAAGACCTTTCCTCTCCCATGCCTTCCCAGTTTTGGGCATAGCCGCAGTCCCCTTCCCTACAGAGTGTACTGCGAATGTCGTTGAATGTCATGCCTCCGTGTCTTAAGTATTGCTTTTTATCTTGACCTCCGCGCTGATGCTTCGTCAACTATCAATTCGATGCTTTCTCGATTCAAATCTTGCCTGAGGATGGGATTGCCATGGACTACCAATTGAGTTGAAGGCGCATTGGGGACGGCGGCTCTATGGGCCAGCTGGCCCAAAGGCAATCATGGAGTATATTTGGACCAACACAAGACAATCACGAAATACTGTTTGCTGCATATATATATGACAAATAACTGTGATTGTGACGGCCGCCTCAAGCTTCTATGCAGGGTTGGGGCGCGGCGCTCTCGGAGGCCCTCTCCCTTTTCTCTGTCTTCTCCTCCTCCCTCTCGTGCCCGGCTCACTGCCATCCATCCGTCCTCTTGCCTTTCCTTTCTGGCTCGGCTTTTGGACTTCTCGGTGGACTTTTCCTTGGACTTTGGATTTCGTGGACTTTTCTTTTTGCTGTCCCTTCGACTTCTCCCAGGGGCTCCTCTCCAGAGCCTCCCGGTCCCGGCTTCCGCCGGCGTCCGCAATCCAGACTCCAAGGATACTTGCATGAGTGACATCTCCATCCTGCAGAACGACCTCCGTGAGTTGACAGCTGCAGTAAAGGAGCTAACTCTTGCAGTCCGAGCCCGACCGGTGCAGAGGGTCGACAGCCAGCGGGGGGCATCGGCTTCCGTCTCTTCGGAAGCATCGAGGTTGTGGGAGTTGGTGGAGAATAGTGGAGGCATCCCAGGAGCGCCAGCGAATTTCTTGGAGGTGGACCTTGAGATACAGTTTGAGGACGGCCCGGGGCCTACTCCGCAGTTCTGCATTGATTCAGCCAAGAGACACCTCACATCCGCGAGACACCACTCGGAAGATCGTGCACGAGCAGCATTTGTTGCAGGGTTCTGGGCCAAAGCTTTTTGGGCTTGCAACTCCCCGTATCCTAGCACTTACAGGCCTGGCATTCCAGCTACTCATTGGGTGCTTCGTCGAGGTCCAGGCTTCGATTTGGTTCGGGTGACATCGCAGGCAGACAGCAATCGTCTCTGCAAGGATTTCCCAGAGATTGAGTTTGTGGAGAAGGTTCCTAGCCTGACAGAGCTGCATATCTTTTGCGCGGGGGCGAAAGCTCCCGTCCCTCCCTTGTGGAAATGGACAGGAGACAAATAGCTTTTGCTTCGGACCAAGAAGAACCCTCCTTGCTCATCTTGACCGTCCCGGCCGAGCTTGCATTGGGAGGGGAAGAGGTTCAGGCTTTTGCAGTGCCCTTGGATGCACGTCGTGGCGGCCTTTTGCTGGCTTTACCTTGTGGCCTTTTTGCTGATGAGCATTTGAATCCAGCAGGAGGTTTTGTCGAGGATGCTTTGTTGGGGCCGTCGCATGAATTCGAAGTTGGTATGTTGGAAGCGGATGAGAGTGGCTTGGCCCATTCCACAGGTTTCAAGAGTTCCATTTTGGTGGCCGATTTCACCAATGCAGTGCTTCAGTTTTTGAGAGAGTATGATGCTGTCAGTGATGATGTGGAGGATATTGCACCCTTTGTTGCTGCACTTCCTTCAGCTTTGCCGGCAGCAGATGAGCTCCTTCGTGCTGCTCTGGATTGGGCTACCGGGGAGACAGCTATGAGGATCCATTTTTACAGTGCTCGAGACGAGCCGGCAGTTTCCAAACCAGCGAGTCCTCCTCCCAGGCAGCCCGCCCTCCGAAAGGCCGGAGCAAAGCGAATCACAACGGCAGGCCTCTCCGAGCAGCTGACTGCGCTCACAGCCCAGGTGGCGCTCCTCCAGGCCTCCCAGATCCCACCAGAAGCCAGGCCCCACGGCGAGGTACCCCCTCTGCCTGGCTCCCAGAATCCAGCCTCTGCAGGTCCTGCAGGAGGTCCCAGCGGCACCGCCTATGTTGGCCTCTACAAGATGCCACCTGTATCCCTCGGATTGGGGACGCCAGCCAAGCAACCATTGACACCGGCAAAAGCTCTTCAAGTGTTGGGGCCTCCACCCAAAACCAGAATGGCCTCACCAAGTGGAGTTCCAGTTCAACACTTGGACGAGCCCAAGGACCCCCTGAAAGCCCCTCCCGAGCAGCTGGAGACTACTTTGTCCCAACAGTCAGCCGCCCTGACAGCACTCGTGTCCCATTTGATCCAAGGAGGAGATGCCTTTGGTCTCGAGTCTTCAGGAGCAACAGGGGGAAGTTCGAGTTCTACAAGAGGCACCATGAGAAGAGAGCAGCTGCAGCAGCTCCTTGCTACAGGCCAGTCGCACTTTTTCATGATGCTGCAGCAGCAGATTTGCCGGAGGCTTCAACCATCCAATGTGGTGCCGAAGACCGAGGAGGAGCTGAATCTTCGGGCTCCTTCCTTGCAGACCTATCTCGAGCGTTATGGGGGCTTCAAGGGCCAAAGGGAAGCAGGCCTCAGCATGTGGGTCATAGCTCATGCGGTGGACGCCGCCTCGCGTGGGGACTTCCACATGACGCGAGAGTATCTGGCCTTGGCAGTTATGGGATTAGAGCAGAGTGCCTTCGATGTGGGAAGCTGGGATTTGGCTTACATCGTCACCCTGGCAGAGGATCCTCCATCTGCACTGTTCCAAGAGAAGATGAGCTCGGTGACAGCGTCAGCTCGACCCTTTGCTCCCTTGATCCCGGCCAGCCTTGCAACAATCTCACTGGCCTACTTGAAAGAGATCGACGTTCTTCAGAGCCGCCGCCAGGAGATCAGGCCGAGAAAAGGTCAGCCCAGCAAACAGGAGGAAGAGTCGACCCCCAGTCCACGGAGGAGGCCGAAGTTCCCAAAGAAGCCGAAGGCTCTTGCCGACGGCGCAGCCTAGCATCAAAGAAGCACGACGAATTCAGAGGTGGCATCAATGCAGCTTCCTCTTTTGTGCATGTCGGCTCTGGGAGGGACCTGCCTGAGGCTTATGCCTCTACAAGGCCTCCCCGCTCCCCTTTGCCTGGGGCTAGTGATCGGAGGGGCAAGCTCTCTGAGAACCAGCCTGAGGCCGGGTCGAGCAGCCATCAGTTCCTTCATACCAGACAGGCCAGCTGCCCAATGTGGATGTCGAAGTTGACCACACTGGTGTTGAAAACGAGATGTACTTTTTCCTCATTTTTGTCGTATTCCATCCAGATTTCCAAGAGGCCTCTTCCTCGAACCTCTCGGACACCGTCCTTGTTCCCTGTCCCTGTTCCTCACGAAGGAGCATTCAGCAGGAAGCCCACTGGCGTCTCAAGCGCTAAGAGGAGGTCTTTTGCCTTGGAGCGAGCTCTTCATATTTGTTGCATGGCTCTTAATTTCTGGCACTATGGGGGCTCTTTCTTGGAGGCAGATCTTCTGTGGAGGGAACCAAATGCAGCTCACTTGCGTCTTTATGCTCAGCTGCGATCCTTTATCAGGGCGGACGGCCCTCGTGATAGCTTTGATATGCTTCATGTCGGTCGAAAGAATCCAGAATTGATTGCACGCCTTTCTGAAGTCTCAGCTCTCTTGGTGAAGTTGGGATGCTCTATGTCTCCATATGACAAGTCCTTCGTTGGCTATGAGGTGAAAAAGGAAAACACGGTCATGCCGGAGCTGGAGCCATATCGGGACCTTGACCCCAGCCGTTTGAAACTCTCTGGCAGTGGCGCCTGGGACGTCACGGCTTTTCTCCCCGACGACCTCGTTATGGCCTACAGGGAGCCGGAGTCAATCCGATTGCAGCGAATTCCTGAGGCTTGGGAGTATCCTCGTATCCGTGACGAGGCCAGCACTGTTTCTGACCTTGCAAAGCTTTGGGATGAGCACGATTTGCTTTTCCTTCATCAAGAAGGTGTTCAACAACGGCAGGAGTTTGAGCTTGTGCGCATCTTCAATTGTTACAAGTCTATAGACAAGGACAGGCAGATTGGTGACCGTCGGGGCCGTAATGCAATAGAGTGCAAAGTGCAAGGTCCTTCGGCTTCTCTTCCAGCAGGCCCTGACCTTTGTGACATAGCAGTCAACTTGAAGTCTCAACGCATCGCCATCTCTGTGTCTGATCGCAAGGACTTCTATCATCAACTTTGGGTCACCAAGGCCAAGGCTGTCACCAATACTTTGGGCCCAGGGCTTCCTATCTCCTGGGTGGAGGATACATCTGCATATGGCTCCTTTATGTTGGCACAGTCCCTAAAGAGGTACAAGAGGAGTGAGCACGGTGACCTTCTCCATCGGGCCAAGTCCACTCGTGGGGATCCAGATAGATTGGTGTGGGCCTCGTTCAAGAGCATCTTGCAGGGGGACCATGCAGGAGTTGAAATTGCTACCGCAGCTCATTTACAGTTGTTGAAGAACTATGGATTGCTAGCAGCAGATTCTCACCTGCAGTCCACGACTCCCTGTTTTTCGGATGACTTGATTGAAGGTCTGGTCATTGATGACTACTTTGCCCTCTCGGTCGATGACAAGGGGATTTCAGATGAAGGTACTCTCTCCGCTGAAGCCTACAAGCAAGCACAAGTAGCATATTCTGAAAAGCAGCTGTTGGGTTCTCCTGAGAAGGACATCTTCGCGGCAAAAGAAGGCAAAGCTATTGGTGCCTATGTCAACGGCGGCGATAGAGCGCTTTCACAAGGAGTCTGCACAGTCGGAGCACCTGCGGAGAAAAGGTTTGCTTTGTCGGCATTGACCTTGGAGCTTTGCGCATTACCTTACACTACGGTATCTCTACATCGATGCATTGTCGGGGCATGGGTTTCAGCTTTGCTTTTCCGGAGGCCCTTGATGGGCATTCTGAATGAGTGCTTTAGGCTGGAGGCCACAGTCGAGGGTATTTCTGATTCAGCATTGATCCCTTTGCCACGCTCAGTCGCCTGTGAATTGGTCCTGGTTGCTACACTGGTGCCTCTTGCAGTTTCGGATGTCCCGGCCCCTTTTGAGGACACTCTTTATGCTTCTGACGCCTCTGACGAGAGGGGTGCTATTGTTGCTGCAGATGTGGGGGCTGAGGTTGTCCGGCTCCTTGGCAAAGTTTGCAAGACCAAAGGTTCCTATACTCGCTTGCAACCACGCTGGAGCAGGTTGATGCAGAAGCTGGATCTAGTCGAAGATGAGAGAGAAGAAGAGGGCTTTCCCGGAGGTGTTGACCGCCCCCTGGCCTTTTCTTTTGAGTTCATCGAGATCTTCGCGGGGTCAGCTCGGGTCACCAAGGCCCTCTTGTCTTTGGGGGTCAGTTGTGGCCCACCCATTGACCTTAGCCTGTCAGAGGAGTACAACTTGAAGCAAGTATTCGTTTTGGAATGGCTCTATCATTTGCTGGAGCGAGGTTCCCTTCGAGCATTCATGGTTGAGCCTCCTTGTACGACCTTCTCTATCATGAGGAGGCCGGCTCTTCGCGACAAGATGCACCCCCTGGGCTTCAATCCAGGAGACCCTCAAACTCATGATGGGAACGTCCTTACTTTACGATCGCTGCAGTTGATGCGCAAAGCACTGGTGCATCGAGTTTCAGGTATTTTCGAAAGGCCCTTCTCCGCCAAGACCAAGTACTTGTCTGCTTACCAGGATTTGCTCTCTCATGCCGGCGTTGATGAGGTCAGAAGCGATTCCTGTCAGTTTGGGTCTATACATCAGAAGTCGTTCGCCTTCCTGGGGGTCAATGTGGATCTGCAACCCTTGGCTCGGCGTTGTCAGGGAACCTGCCAGCATGTGCCTATAGCAGGATCTTATACCAAAGCTTCTGCAGTCTACACCCAGGAATTGGCCGCAGCTCTGGCATGGGTTATTGCTCATGCCATCAAAGTTGTCAGGGCTTCTGATCCCCTTGGTGGCACAGTCAACACAGAGGGTCTGGAGAATCAGCTGGTCAACGAGCTTGCTCTTGGTTGTTCGTGGAGGGTCGAAAACTCTTGGGCTTTCAAGAAACAGCAGCGCATCAACTTGCTTGAGATGAAGGCCGTCGAGAAGTTGGTCTTCAAAGTTGCAAAGAAAGGCCCCAAGAGATTTGTGTGCCTGGTTGACTCGAATGTGTCTCGTGGAGCCCTTGCAAAAGGAAGATCTGCTTCAAAGGCCTTATCGGCGGTACTTCGTCGCATTGGTTCATGCCTGGTTGGCTTTGGACTGTATTTGACCACTCCTTTTTGTCCTACCAGGCTCAATGTTGCAGATGACCCTACAAGATCCAGGAGCATTCGCCCGTCAGTGCAAGGCCTTGGTTGGAAGAACCTCTCCAAGAGGAGCCTTTGGGATTTTGCAATGTTGCCAAAGACAAGAAGATGGGCGTCCAACTGGCTCAGGCTTGTTTTGTTGATCTACGGTTTGGCAGTTAGCAGATGGGCTGACCGCTCTTCCTCCAGATGGTCACGTGCGTCAGAGCATGTTCGCTTCCAGGCAGAAACTTGCTGTCCAGTTTGTCCATCCCATGATTTCTCCGTTATCGATTTCGATTCCACCAAGGGCTATCCTGGCGAAGGCCCTTTCCTTTCGGCCTTTGGATTTTGCATCTTGCTTTGCCTCTTTACCAACTCCTCCTTCTCGCCCGCCTGGCACTTCTGGCTCTTCCTCCTTCTTCCTCCCCGCTCACTTTGGCCTCTGAGAGTTTTCCCGGGGGCGCGGGTTGCGGTAGTGTTTTCCCTGCTCCTTAACCAGGGAGCTGTTGCCATGGAACCTTCCACTGCCGCTGAAAAGGCGAGAGCTGAGTTTCGGGCTTTGAGGCCCGCGCTGCCAGAAGGTAGACCAACGTTGGAGGCGACGAATAAGCTGCGACTGAAGTATTGGTCGATTTTTGAGAAGTGGCTTGCCTCTGAGGCAATTGACATTGCACCCTTGTTGGAACAACCCACCTTTTTCATCGAGGAGCTAAATGCGATTTTGACGCGTTTTGGAAGAGTTCTTTACACAGCTGGTAGGCCCTACAATCAGTATGCCGAGACCATAAATCATCTGACTTCGTTGAAGCCATCCATCCGTCGACAGATGCAAGGGTCTTGGGATTTAGCTTACAGCTGGATGGCAGCTGAACCCACGTGTCATCATGTTGCTATGCCCTGGCAGGTTTTACTAGCCATGGTTACAACCTGCTTGTTATGGGGATGGGTTCCTTTGGCTGGAGCTTTGTCTTTGTGTTGGGGTGCTTTGCTTCGGGCAGGCGAGTTTCTGTCTGCCACTCGTGCAAACCTCCTGTTACCCCGTGACGTGGATGAAACAGTTCACTACGCAACGCTTGCTATTCTGGAGCCAAAAACCAGGATGTCCGGAGCTAAACACCAAACCGCTAAGCTAGAAGTTCCTGACCTACTACAAGTTGTGGATCTTGCTTTCGGGCACCTTCCGCCTACAGCTAAACTTTGGTGCTGGTCAGGTCAGACTTTGAGGCAGAGGTTCAAAGATGTTCTTGCAGCGCTCCTTCTTCCCACAGAGCGATATGGAAGCCTCAAAGCGCTGGACTTAGGCTCGCTTCGAGCTGGTGGTGCTACCTGGCATCTAGCAACAACAGAAAATAGTGAGTATACACGCAGGAAGGGCAGATGGTTAAACCATCGCATCATGGAAATCTACGTTCAAGAAACTGCCGCTTTACTTTACCTTAAGAGAGTTGCGGAGCCTGCAAAAGAGCGTGTCCTTAATTTTGCTGCTTTGTTTCCGAATGTGCTCGCCCAGAGTCAAAGATTTCATGGTATGCGCCTGCCCTGGAACATGTGGAGACACCTCTATGGACAAGAAGCTTGGGCTGGTTGGAGAGAATGAGGTAAGCTGCCAACATGGCAGCCTGTGGAACTTGTTGTTGGATGG